GGGCACAGCAGGGACAGAGGGAGGGCAGTGAGGGGAGGTGGGCACAGCAGGGACAGAGCGAGGGCAGTGGGGGGAGGAGGGCACAGCAGGGACAGAGGGGAGGCTGGGGGCCCCCGCTGGCCCCTCTGCTCGGAGGGCCTGGTGCCACAAGCCGTCAGTACCTTGGGGTGGGGAGTAGTCGTCCGAGTCCGTGTCGCTCTCGCTGCTGTCCTCCACCAGGAAGATGGGATAGTTCCAGGACATGCTGAGGATGCCTTCGAACTCGTGCAGCAGGACGTGTGCCAGCATGCGGCCGTGGCAGTCCATGACGATGACCTGGCCATCGGCCGTGCCAAACAGCACCTGCAACCAAGAAGGCATCCTTGAGCAGACAGCAAAGGCGGGGCTGGTGATGCGAGACCTGGACCGGGAGCTGTAAATCCTAAAGACGGTGCCTGAGGCCAGGACCTGCTGGGATTGGGTTCTTCTGCTGGAGCAGGAGTGTCCTAAGGCCATATTGATTAGGAGCAGGTGAGGCCGAGAGGTGAACAAAGCGGGGGAGATAGGAGCCCATGGAGATCACCAGGACCTCCCCCAGAGCCAGGTGAGAGAGAAGACCTGCTTCCAGAGCAGACTTCTAGCATCTCAATGGTGAGAAAATAAATTTCTGTTTGTCAGCGCATCCACTGTGGTACTCCTGTCATAGCCATGCTCAGTTACTACGGCAAAGGCCTGCGTTAGGCAAATTTCGCTGTTCATACTATTTGAGAACAACAAAAATACATTTGTAACTGAAAACATAAATGAGTAACTGAGTGGGTACCAAGCAGCACATAGTAGAGATGTAGCCGCCGATTAGTGCAAAGACTTGGAGCTGAGAACTGAACTGGGATCAATGAATGATACAATGCAGAGGCTCATTACGTTACGTGGGCGTCTTCAAACAATCCAGCAAAAGCATTCTTACCTGTTCTGTACATTATTGTTATTTTTGCTGTAATGGGGATTTTTTTGTTGTTGTTGTTTTGGGGTTGGTTTTTGGTTTGAGGGTGTGGGTTTGTTTTTTTTTTTTTTTGTGAGGGAGGAGTGGGAAGAGAAGACTTAAGAGAGTAATATCCTTTTTTCCTGGAAAATGAAGAAAAGTGAAATTTTGGCCTTAGGATATTTCACAAATTCAAAAGGAAAAGTCTGGGGTGACGTGTGATCGCACAGAAAACACAATGCTATGCAAGCACGTTACCTAAGCATCCTCGGAAAAGGTGACGCTCCTGAGAAAATATGTCTTAAATTTTACTTCATTGTGAGTAACGGTAGGAATCAATCACCAATCATGAATGCATTAACTAATTAACAATGAAATGCTTACATGAGCCTTGACTGCTCCATCAGTGACCATGCGTGCGGTAGCTGCCTTGCTGCCTGTGTCTTGGGGGCCTGAGATCAGTGAACAGACAGACACCTCAGGAGGCATGTCCTCACCTGTGTCATGGACCTCACACTAGGATGTGCTGGCGGCAGGAAGGGGAGTGGGCACCCAGTCCCTTCGGAGAACAGCACGAGGGCCACCTCCTGGGTTCGGGGAGCCTGCCCTGGCAGGGAGAGTCTTCCCGAGCCACGTGTCCTACAGAGGAACCTGCAGCCGGGCCAGCAGGAACCCCCCCGCCCCCCCCGCAAGGAACATGTTCTGCTCTGTGGAAGGGTCCCTGTGGCCTCTTCCTCTGGTCCCTTTAGGAATGTTTGCATCTTCTGTGTCTTATGGAATTTTCCCATCCATCAGCATCTCACTGTGACACCCATGCCACCCGTCACCCTGTGTTAACTGACAGAAAGTTACAGATAGGTGGACAGAGGTACTAAGTGGTAACGCCAGGACAGAGGCCAGGAGTCACACAGGAGGCAGGTTGTCAAGGCTCCGGGTACTTGCTTCCTTTCTTGTTGTGATTCTGATGGTAAACTTTGCAGGGACCCAGGCTTTAGTGCCCTCAACCACACCCTGGTGCAGAGGAGGTGGTGTGTGTGCACTGGGCATGCTCAGCATCTCCTGCTAAATGAAGAAGCGAAAGGCAGTGACGCTCAAAGGCAATCTGAGGACACAAGTGCCAATGATTAGGCCAGATGAGAGGAGGGAAGATGCCTTTCAGTTAAGCAGTAACAAGCCTAGAGAATCCAGAGTTCTTCAGAATCACTCATTCATCCACCAGCTATTCCTTTCATCAATGTTTTAATGACTGACAACCATAAAAAGGCTAAGACCATTTCCCCCAGAGGCAGTGCTGACTTCACAACCATTGCATCAAGGAATAACCAGCAAAGCAACTAAGGACATGTGGAACTCATTTTACCAAAAAGTGACATTTTGAGTTGTCAGGAGGAAAAACATTAATCTAACAGTAAGACAGAGATGATGGGGATGGCCCAGGACAGGACAGGGTCCAGGTCTGTTGTTCATCGGGTCAGTGTGAATCGACTCGACCAGACAGCCCTACAATAGTAACAACAACGGCATGTGGGCAAAGATTTCCGGGACAGAAACCGGGATCAGGACGCTGCAATAGGCGGGCAGGTCTGAACTCCTGAAGCCCATGGGGCAGGCGTCCCCTGAAGCCCAGGAGGCAGGCGTCCCCTGAAGCCCATGGGGCAGGCATCCCCTGAACCCCAGGAAGCAGGCGTCCATATGGATTTGTTACAGTCTCTTTAAAGACCTTGTTAAAGCATTACAAGATCTAAAGACCCAAACCATGGTATTTTCAAAGCATCGAAGCTTGCAAAAGCTTGACAAGGAATGCCTTTGAATTACGGTATTGGTAAAGAACACTGGGGAAAAAACAAGCCACGAACAAAACATGCAAAAAATATGAACCAACCAGTCTTGAAAGAAGTTCCAGCCCTGATGCTCCTTAGAAGCAAAGACAACAAGACTGGGTCTCAGTGCTCTGGTCATGTTATCTGAGGGCCCCGTCCCCTGGAAGGACACGACACTTGGTGAAATACACGGTCAGTAAAACGGGAGAGAACTTCAGTGAGACAGACACACACTGTGGCTGCTACGCTGGCTCAGCCGGGACTGTGGATGGTGGGGTCTGTGGGGAGAGTGGGGTCTGTGGGGATGGTGCGGACAGTGGGGACTGTGGGAAGAGTGGGGAAGGTGGACTGTGCGGACAGTGCAGACTCTAGGGACTGTGCAGACCATGGGTGGTGTGGACAGTTGGACGCTGGGGACCGTGGGGGACTGTGTAGACGGTGGTTTTTCCATTTGACTCAAGGCACTCTGCGTTAAAATCAACTCAACAGCACTGTGCGGTTCCACCTACACGACACGTCCAGGAGAGACAAGCATGCCCACGGTGGTCAGTGGCCAGCGGTGGCAGTGGGAGGGCAGGGAAACAAGGACTCCGTAAAGAGTGGACACAGAGCTTCTGTTAAGGCAGGTGTGAAGACGTGGACCCAGGTGAGGGTGAGAGCTGAACGCCGCGACGAGCATGATGAGTGTGAGTTGATCTTACACGTGCAAATGTGGAAAAGGAGAATCACTTGTTGTGTGTTTTGTTTATTTAACATAATTTTTTAGAAAAGGTAAAAAATAATGTTAAAAAGAAAGAATGGCACTCTGGTGGATTAACGGTAAGAAGCTGCACTGTGAAACAACCCAAGTGCCCATCCACAAACGAATGGATAGAGAAGCTGTGGTATATTCACACAATGGGATACTACGCTGCATTGAAAAACAAGGAACTCATGAAATATTATTCAAAATGGGTGACCCTGGAGGACATTATGCTGAGTGAAATATCTCAGTCACAAAAGGACAAACACTGTATAGCGTCACTGTTGTACAACGGGACTGACATCCGGGTTGGGGTGAGACTGAGAGAGATGGGATAAATAACGTACACTGCATTGAGACAGATGAGGGAGAGAACTGTTTAAAAGGGATAGATGATTGGGTATTATTGTCATGACAGGAGCCCAGAACGAAGGCTGCACAGTGGAGTGGACTTGGGGGGAGGGATTGTATAACAATGAAAGAATGTTTCTTTTACTTTGCAAAGAGAAGAAGAACTAGAGGGGAAGGGTGGGCAGGGAGAAAAGTGCAACAATGAATGAATGAATGGAAATCCAAAATCTCTGTAAATTTTCATTAAAGTTAATAATAATAAAAATTTTTTTTTTATAAAAAGAAGCTGCACCATCAACCTAAAAGCATGTGTCTCCAGCTGCTCTGCTGGAGAAAGATGGGCAATCTATCTATTCCATGCAATGTATATATACACACACACACACACACACACACACACACACACACACACACACATTCCATCTCTACAATGAACTATTTATTAGGGAGCACAGGTAGCTTAGTGGTAAGGAACTGCACTGTCAACCTAAAGCTACATGGTTCAAATCCACTAGTTGTCCATGGAAGAAAGAAGAGTAATCTTCTGTGCAATTTGCAGCCTGTGAAAACCTGCTGGAGGGTCAGCTGTGGGTCAGTTATGACTAAATGGTACACAACAACAACAACAACAAACAGAAAGAGGCCTGGTTAGCAGTTTAAAAAGTTCATAAACCTGACCCCAGTCGTTAGACCTGGGGGGCTTGAATTGTGTATGAGCACCAGAGTCCCTTACACGTGCTCTTTTTTAAAAAAAAAATAAAAAGTTCATAAATATGGAATACAACTTCCTACAACTTTAACGGAGATGTACAGTGTACGTGCGTGTGTATGTCTGTCTACATCTCTATCTACAGATCTCACAATAAGACCCCTTTTCTTTCCACATTCTCATTCATCTACTCAAGGGATTACGGGATTTCTGGGTAAGCTGGGCGACTTCACAGACGGCAGCCCAGACCCCTTCTCTAAGACACCAGAAACAGAAAACGGATGACGGTTCTGGAACCCTGGGCTTCATTCATTTACTCACAAACATCTTGAAAAGCAAAAAGCAACTATGTTCTCTGGTGCTGACGTGCAAGGACCTTTTAAAAAAACCCTACAGGCAGCTCACTGGTGGAGGACGACAAGCTGACCTCCACTGCCACAGTCATTATTAACAGCTATCCATCCCAAATGAGTTCTCCGGCCCGTTGCCTGTCACGGGTTCTCGTGTTACCCTGGAGTGTCTCCTGACACACTCAGTGCTATGTCCATCTCCTTCCTGTGGAATGACCTGAGCTCTGACCTTAGGCTAAGGCCGCACGCTCCCAGAGACGGAGACGTGAACCAATGAGCTCATCCACACCCATTCGGAGGATCTGTCAAGGCACCTGGCCTGCAGAAGCCAGTATCTGAGCAGGAAGGAAAGGACAGGCAGGAAACGCCTCAGCATTGAAAAGCCTCGAGTTACACTCACATTTTTCCA